TTTCTCAACCGGTTACCCGAAATTTATTCGGTTCGGGTCGGTTAACCGATTATAGCTTAACCGATTCAAGTCACAATTAACATCTCTATGTTTGATATTATTGCATTTATGCATTTTTCTATTTTTTTAAGTCTTTTATTTATTTAGTAATAAGTTACCATCGTTATGAACTTATTTTATTTAGCAGCAACTGAAATAAAATTTTTTTCGATCATAACGCTAAAGCTTTAACGTTAAAGTTTGAACAAATTGATTATATTTCATGATATGTACTTGTTATTGGTCATGTTGATAATTGATTATTTACTAGGACGCCGAGTCATAGTCATAACGGTGGCCATTGGCCGTAGCATTGAGGTTTTCCGGATATTTAGTAAAAATATCTAAAATTTAAATTTACAAATATTTTTTTAATGCCTACGTACGTACGTGCCTGAAGGTTGAATTGGATAAATAAAAATTCGAAAGTCTTAGCTGCATATATATTTACCTCTGATAATGCTGTAATGCGTATGCGTTTCGAGCCAAAAAAAAAAAATAGGTAATATACAGCAAGATAATGTCTAAAATTAATAATTGTCGGGATGATGCTGGGAATCGGATGATGCTGGGAATCTGGGGTTTCAATTTACAAATATAAACCCTACTAAAACCCACATATACTCTTTCATTATAAACTCTAACCCTAAATTCTAACCTAACTCTAAAAAAAAGGCTAAAAAAATGTCCCAAAAATTTTTAAAATTTTATATTAAAATAATTCAAATTCCCAGCATCATCCCCCACAATAATTAACGTTAATTATATTATAAATAAATATATAATATCGAATAACGGAATACGCAATTTATCTAGCATAAAGGTTTATTTGTAATAGATATTTAATGGATTGCCGTGGATATCATGCATCATCACGGGCAATTATTTATTATGCGTCATCGCGGCTGCGCCGCGATGACGCATGATACGTAAATGGTTGCCCGTGATGATGCATGATATTACGGTAATCCATTAAATATCTGTTTTATCCCCTGGATCCTAACGCCCGTGATTATTACACTGATATTTTCTCTTTCACCTTTCTTTCATAAAATGCCAAACAAGCGTCAAAAGAAGAATAACTTTCATAATATGCCAATTCCCATTTTTACTAGTGCACGCACTTATATTCCTGAAATCATTTCTGAAGAAAATACGATTTTAAATACTGATACACCAAGGTCTGAAATAGAACAGAAACTGGATTTCTACAGGAAAAAGGTTTCAGTTTACAATACAGAAAAGTCTACACAAAATTGGGTAAAGAAGTTTGAAGAATTTCAGCACAAATATAATTATGTTACACCACTTGAATCAATTGAAGGTCCTCATCTTATCGAACAACAAATATGTGAATATGTTGCAAAAATGACAAAGAAAGATGGTGGTGAATATAAGGCAACAACAATTAAGCAGGCCGTTGATGCAATTAATAGATATCTTAGTAAAAATGGTGCAATTCGTGGCTTTAAAATATCAATTTCCAGATTTGTATGATATTTTAAATGGTAAAATGAAAGATTTACAAGAGAAGGAGTTGGGTGAAAAAGAAGGATTGATGGCATTAATGGCTCAGCAAGTAAAGGAAATTTTAGATGATGAATTCTTGAATCCTAAAACATCTCAAGGTTTATTATACAGAGTATTTTTTCAAAATGCAACAATCTTTGCATGTCAAGGTAGAGAACATTACTTACTTCAGGTTAATCAGTTTCAGATTCAACCAGATGGTAGTATCTTATTTTACAGATATCGTAGTAAAAATAATCAATGGGGAATTCAAGAAGGTGATGCATATCAAATTCACTTACCACCTGACTCACCTGATACTTTTGACCCTGTTAGTGATTTTATGAAATATATTTCTAAACATCCTTCTGATACACCTAACAACTTCTACTTACATCTGAATTCGAATTGGCATGATACTGATGTTTGGTATTTCAAAACTTATTGTGGCATAAATAGAGTCAGAAATTTTATGTAAGATATTGGACAAAAAATTAAAATAAAACTTTTAGAAGAAATTTTAACAAATCATTCTGGAAGAAAAACGGCTGCCCAAATTTTTCAGGATGTTGATGTATCAGAAGATACTATTATGAATATTATGAGTCATAAGAGTGTACAAGGAGTGCATGCATATAAGAGTGTTAATAAACATCAACAAATTAATACAATGAAAATTTTGATTAATACTATTGAGTCATTGAAAAATTCAAACAAGATAAATCATATTTCTTCTATTATGTCTGCTGAATTTAATAGCTCTCATATTAATGTTAATACTAATACTGTCTCTATACAAGACATAAATATGGTTCAAGAAGAATTTCAGAATCAACGTTTTATTTTTAATAATTGTCATTTTACAAATGTTCCATTTCATTTTCAATAATATACTAGTTACAATTTGTTTTTTACATATGCTATTCATTCGAAATAATCATATAAAAAATTTCTTCATATAGAATTATAGTTTAAAATAATAATTTTCAATAGCACAATATTGAAATGCATATAATGTTTTATATTATAATAAAAAATTTATGGGAACTGTTAAATATGATGTGGGGCTGTTGAATAATTTTTGATATTTTTATGGTGACTATTTACATAAAAATATCAGTGCTTAGTATCACGAGCAACTATTAGAAAACATGGGATAAATAAGGTAAATTACCTGGTAAATTACAATAATTTACCAATGGTAATTTACCACCTGACAACCCTGCATAGCAACAGTTGTGATTTTTGATTTCTGTTATTATTCGAATGAAATAATCGCTACATGATATAAAAAATCCCTATTTTTAATAATAAGGGACATGACAAAAATCAGGTGATTTTTTAGGGAGAAGGTGTAAAAAATTTAAAATTATATATAAAGACCTGATCAAGATATATAGTAAGAGGGGGAAAAGCCTCTGATAAAAAAAATCAGGTGATAAATGACACTGCCCTAATAATAGTAATGATAGTAATAATAGTAAATTGAATATATTTCTTTTTTCACCATAATAAAATCAAAAAAACAAAAAGATAAAAAACTATGAAGAATAATTCATATACATGTATATCTCTATTATAGTATTATGCCAATTTTTGATTTGTTATTTTTTTTATAATTAATTTATATACATAATTTTAATCCAGAAAATAAGTGAATAATTCTTGATCAATTTATACACAATACAGTCATACTCTTCTATAATCACCCAGTTTTTTCTATATAAAACAATATGTGATTATAAAAATTCTATTATGATGTGCTTATATAGAAGTATTTTTTTATAAATTTATTAATAAATTTTTTAAAAATTTAAGGTGATTATATAGAATTTATGCTTATATAGGAGGTGATTACAGAGAAGCATAACCATATTTAATTCTATTTTTTCTATTTTAATGTTTGAGATGAAGGGTCAGAAAAAAACATCTAAGCGAGTTAATTTTGTTTTGCTAAAAAAAAATTATAATTCTAAAAAATGCAAATAAATATGATTATAATAGGACTGCGTGTTGTAAATTCATAGGGTGAAATCTGCGTTTAGCTATATTTTTATTATGCAAAAGCAAATTTCATCTTCATGTGATCTATATTGCTGATAATTATCCTATAGATATGTACTATGTAAAAACCTGTGCTTTTTAAAATGAAAATCACATGATTCAAATAGATCAGTATTATCATAAATCATGTATTATTTGTTATATACTATAAAGAATTTATTTAGATTTTAGTCTTTAAAATTGTGTACTAGAAAAACCTTCATTTAAGTTTGAATATTCTAAATTTTATGTGCAAAAAAAATTTTATTTAGGTTTAAGTTTTTTAAATTGTCATGTGTTAAGAACTTTTAAAAATATTATTTGATAAATAACTAGTCTTTTTTCAAAATATTTTTATAGAATTATTTATTTATTTGTTCAAATTAAAAAAAATACATTATTTAATAATTATATTTATCATTTGAATAACTTAATAAAATATTTAATATTATAAAAATGGTTTGGTAAATAGTTTATGCAATAGTCCTGACGATAGTTTATATAATGATTGCAGCAATGATCTTTGTAATAATTGTTATTATTATTATTATTATTATTATTATTTAACAGTTAATAAATACTCGTTAGTGTTCTCTATATGAGATTCTTTGCAATTCAAAAATTTCTTCAGTAGATGCATTAAAAAGAAAAAAAAAAAGAATGAAGTTAAAAGTAGATCAATCTAAAAATTACTAATACTAAAGTAAATAAAGTTTAATTTGATAACCTGTTGCACAGATTATTACATTGTTACATCGTACCCATATGACGCATGAGCTAACTAGCACCATAAAATTATGAGCGTAAAACTTTAATTGTTTTTTTTGTTTTACAAACCTTCATATATATACCCCTGTGATACATATATAGTGCTGGTAGGTTATACCCGACAATCATATAAATTGTTTCAATTTTCATATGATCACGATTGATCAATAAAAATGCAATGTACTACGTACGTATATACGTATATACATATGTTATACAAAGCTACTAAATTAAAAAAAATTCAATCGTTAATGCTAATATTGCATCAACTTCGAAATGTTAAAGAAAAATAATACAAATATATTTATTAGTTGAATAAAAAGCATTAATTAGGGATGCAAATCACTAACTCTTCCTGATGATCACTTGTACCAAACTTCTCTTGAAAACATTTGCTGTTTATTAAATATTTTATTAAGTAAATCACCTTTGGATGCCTAAGTAAAGTTGTTTTACTCTTAATTTTACTTATAGGTAGTCTAGTTTTATAGCTCTAGAGTTTTTTACTACAGAGTTATAACTATATTTTAAAATTTTTGTTTTTCTAGTTTTCTTAAAATTTTATTAAGTAAACCTTTATTGCTTCTTAATAGAAAAGGTTAAGCTCAACAATAGCTTCATTTTGATATATAATATATTCTAAACGGACAAAAATTGCATATTTTACAACCAAAATACTTCAAAACTTATTACAAAAACTGCACTCTAGTTTTTGCAAAAAATTTTTATTTTTTGGGGGATTCTGCCCCTCTAGGACGCCCAAACTTGCAGATCCTCATTACTAATCAAGATTATTAATCAATTTACACAACTTAGCCTCCTGTTACATCTATTTTTATACAAAAACCAAACTTACTTTTTTTGGTTTTAGTAAATTTACACAAATAGCATCTTCGGCGATCCTGCCAATCTGTTTATCGTGACGCTGGGTAACACCCTATCTGTCATACCTCCTATTTGTCACAGCTATTTTATTTGTCACACCCCCCTTATTTGTCACATCTCTCTTATTTGTTACACCCTTACTGGATCTACCAAATCTCATCCAACACTATGTCTACTCTAATTTCTGAAGAACCAGATTCTTACAATCTTGACTACTACTATAAAAACTATCAGGACTATCATGGTTTAAGAACTACTGAAAGAGCTATCAACTCTCTCCGAGTTCTCCCAACAGCCTTTAAACCAAATGCTTGCGATTTAATCAAACTACAACATTTTTTCCAAGTACCTCTTCAACCTTCTATTGGTAAATGCTATTGTGGCAAATACTACACTAGCTTTACTTCTGAATATTATAAAATCCTATATACACAACGCACTGCTATTGGAGAATCTACAACTATAATCTCTGATATCTCTAACAATCAATTAAACAAAAAATGTGATTCTCTTCCAAAATCACCTATCACCAAAACATCAGCTCAAGAAGAATCTTACCAAGCCAACTTACGTATTCTGTTCTCTAATTTCCAAACTAATCCTAATCCTATGGCTATCATTCTGCATTCACAACACTACCATATCTGCATCTTTTGCAGAACTAAAAATCTTCCTTGTATATCCACAAATTAAAGCGAATATGCACCTGACTATACTACAGCCAGACTCTTTAAAAATCGCTTAATTCATAGAATATGTATGGCACATATTTCAAACATGAAACTTAAACCTCTCACACAAACAGCCCCACTTAACTTCACCCAAAAAATAGTTATATCTCTTATTAAAGCAAAACAGGAAGCACCTTTTACTCATTACCAAGCAATCATTATCTCTTTAATCAAACTTTGTAAACTTTCTGTCAAGGAAAGAGGCCAAATCCTAGCCTTGTTATTTTCTAAACAACAATAGCAACAATAACAACAACAACAGTTGAATCAAAAATTAAACAAAAACCAAGATGAACAGAACCAAGATCAAAAACATCAACAAAAACAAGCACAGGAATCCAAACAAAATCGTGATACCTCAAAGGATCTTGACTGGTTCAAAAAATTTCCAATTATCGAATCTATAAAACTCTATACTAGACTTGACAATATTCTTGCACACCAACTCTTCAAATTTATTAGACCTCATCTCATTGAAGGTTATCCTAGCAAGGTTATCAAACCAGCAACCCAATTTACTAGAGAACTTAAATTCACATATTCCTATTTAATTAAAAAAATAGCTGGTCTACAACCTCAATTTTTATTAACTTCATTCATGAGAACCTTCCTAATATTAATAAGGATGTTTCTATCCTCTTTAATATTCTCCATTTTACACTTGAAGGACTACTTAAAGAATTTACCAAGACTCTTTTTACTGAACTCGACTACTCCAAGATTCTTACCTCCTATAACTCTGTACTACCTTATTCTATTTCTAACCGAAACTTAGTAGCTCTAAATCTTGCTCGATTATATCTTATCCTTAATGAGAAATATATGACTATTAATGCAAAAAAATTCTGTGAAGATCTAAACATACGCCCTATTAGACTTCAACTTCACTATTATATTAGTAAAGATGCTCTTTACCAACCACTTTTTAAAGTACAAAATGACAATTTATTTAATATTAATATCTCTCTAAATATACCCAAATGCAACTTCCTTGAAACTTTTCAAATTCCCTCCCTGAAAGATCACCTACCTGAATTTGACAAATGGTTTGGCAAGTTCTTCAATATCTACAAATGCTAATTTTCTAAAATCGATGAGAAAAAATTTAAAAACTATATCAAACATGAAATTGCACTCAAACTAGCCAAAACATGCAAAGCACTTTTACCTAACAACTTCTTTATCACATATATCAGCTCTCTACAAGATCAATCTCAACAATGCTTCAAAGTAGCATTATATTATATTCACACTTGTACTGTTAAAGGCTGTTTCACCCTTCCATCAAAAAAAGAACATAATATTCAGAACCTGTCAGAATTTTACTTTAAGCAATCATTTGAATACTACCCAGCTCCTATCTCTAGCACCCCATCTAAATCTAGACTTATACAACCTACTCTCTATCCACAACAATTTAGAAAAGACCAATCAAACTCTGCTATATTTTGAAAATCTACAC